TGAACAAAATATATAATAAATATAATATATATTAAAAATAAAAAACATAAAAATATAATAAGAAAATATTATAAAAGTTGGAAGGTTAAAATTGAAAATATTAAAAGGTTAAAATTGAAAAATAAAATAAATTGAATTTTATATATTTTATTATTTTATATAGGAGGGGGCGTAGAAAAGTAGGGAAAAAAAATGTAGGAGGGGTTGGAGATAGAATAATAACCCTAGATTAATAGATAAAATGTGCGACACGTGCTTATCGGGTCAGAAGAAAGTAGATAACGGCCCCAGATCTGATAGTTGACTTTTCTTTCTGACTTGTTTAGGAACCAAGAGCTTACCCTCCTCAATCACCACATCAAGGCTGATGGTCAATGTAATGTACCTTCCCTCCTGCTTTCTTTCTTTTCGTCAAACACAACTCCATTCATCTGCACATCAAATTGGTTCAATTTGTTCCATTGTTGATGTGGCTCTGTAAATGGTGACTCTAGGGCTTCCAAATCGTCTACTTGCGACTTGACTGTGTCTTGAGATTTCAAATTCGACGTAAATGGATCCAAGAATCCGGAGATTTGCTAGTTCTGCGAATGGAAATGGAATTAAATTCGGGAATCAAAGCATTACTGCGAAAGCCTTAGATAATCCCCCCAGGTTTGAAAATGCATGTTCGGTTTATGATCCGGTCAATGGGAATCTGGATTCGGTTTCTGTCTATGATCACAACTTTAGGGGTATACAATTTGATCGCAACTTTAGAGGTATACAATTTGATCCACCAACCAGTTCGTCGCTGGTTGTTAGTGCTGATGAGCTTCATGAAGATTGTGATCTATCGGATGCAATTTTGGGGTATATTAGTCAGGTGCTTATGGAAGAAGATATGGAGGACAAGTCTTGTATGCTTTATGAGTCTTTAGACCTTCAAGCTGCGGAGAAGTCCTTCTATGATGTTCTTGGCAAGAAGTATCCTCCATCACCGTCCTATGATGAAGGTTTGCTTTCTGTTGATCGATATATAGAGAGCCCAAGTGATTATTCCTCATTAGATCAGAATACATATGTTGGTGAATTCACTAATGGTAGTGGTTATTTACATCATGAGTCAAATCTACAAAGTCTTGGAGCCAATGACGTATCATGTAGGTCAGTAAGTTCATCAAACAGTGGAAATAATGTAATTGATGGGTTTATTGATTCTCCGGCAAGAACTTTTCAGGCGCCTGAGATTTGTGACGAGAATCAAATGATGCTCAAGTTTAATAAGGGTGTAGAAGAAGCTAATAAGTTTCTTCCCAGTGATAACAAGCTGTTAGCTTCTTTTAATGGAGGTGAATCTTGGCCTAAAGTTGAGAATAGTAAAGGTGGTGAACTGATGGTCATGGTGGATGGAAGAAACTTGCAGACATGGACAAGGGTGAGGAAAAGTCCTTGTGGGGAAGATGATATAGGGGTGGAAGAGAGGAGTATTAAGCAGGCAGCAATCTATCAGGATTCTACTTTGAGGTCGAAAGAGATTGATTTGATCCTTCTTTGTAGTCAGGGACAAGGTGATGTAGCTTTACGGTCTCTGCGCTACACCTTGCAGAAGGAAACGAGCAAAGACAAACTAAAAGATAAGGAACCAAAATGCTTAACCAAGGGGAAAGGTAAAGGCAAAGGCCGAAGTAGGAAACAGAAAAACACAAAAGAAGTGATAGATTTGAGAACTCTTTTGATCACTTGTGCACAGGCGATTGCTGCTGACGATCGAAGGAATGCAAATGAACTTCTGAAAAAGATCAGGCAGCATGCTTCTCCATTTGGCGATGGGAGTCAGAGGTTAGCTCACTGTTTTGCTGATGGTCTTGAGGCACGTTTGGCTGGCACTGGTAGCCAAATTTATAGAGCACTAGTTAGCAAGAAAACATCTGCTACTGATTACATTAAAGCATACCATCTGTATATTGCATCCTCCCCTTTCAGAAAGATTTCGAATTTTGCCTCAAACAGGACAATAAGAGATATGGCAGTGGCAGAGAATGCCACCAGGATACACATCATTGATTTTGGTATCCACTATGGCTTTCAGTGGCCCACCTTCATTCAACGTATTTTAGAAAAGGAAGGTGGGCCACCGAGGATTCGGTTAACAGGAATTGAATTTCCTCAACCTGGGTTCAGGCCAGCTGAAAGAATTGAAGAGACTGGTCTGCGGTTAAAGGAGTATGCTAGCCATTTCAATGTGCCATTTGAGTATAATCCTATTGCAAAGAGATGGGAAGATGTGAGTGTTGAGGATCTTAAGATTGATGAAGGTGAGTTTTTAGTGGTCAACTGTATGTATCGATCAAAAAACTTGCTTGATGAGACTGTTGGGGTGGACAGCGCCAGAAACGTGGTTCTTGACCTGATAAAGAAGATTAGCCCGGATATCTTCATCCATGGAATTCTCAATGGGTCTTATAACGCCCCATTTTTTGTCACCCGATTCAGGGAAGCTCTCTTTCATTTCTCAGCACTATTTGATATGCTTGAAACAAATGTACCCCGTGAGCGATCTGAAAGGATGCTGCTTGAGAGAGAACTCTTTGGAAGAGAAGCTCTGAATGTTATAGCCTGTGAGGGGTCGGAGAGGGTTGAAAGACCAGAGACATACAAGCAGTGGCACGCTCGTAATCTGAGAGCAGGGTTGGTTTCATTTCCTTTTTCTCGTGAGATTATAAAAATGGCAAGAGAGAAAGTGGGGTTATATCACAAGGATTTCATGATAGATGTAGACAACCAATGGCTTCTACTCGGCTGGAAAGGACGGATAATTTATGCCATTTCTTGTTGGAAGGTCGAATAAAGAATTCAACCAAGTATTTACTCCATTTTCAAGTAAATATTTCAACGAGCAGCTGCTTTAACTCATAACTTGATCTGACTCACCATATAGGAGGTCGTAAGACGATATAGAATTCTACACAGTAGATTTTTGAACGTTTTTTAAATTGTGATATGTGATGAGCGTGCCTTGACTGATACTTACCTTGCACATAATTTCTAGTGTGAATCATGATTCATTGTAACTTTGTTGCTTATATGTGACTTTTTTTTGTGCTTTCTAGATATGTTCCTTTTCCTTTTTTGCAGGCTGGGGGTTCTCTTGGAAACATCTTCTCTGTCTCATGTCTATGTACATCTGAACCCCCCCTCCCCCCTAACCAAAACCCCATCTTTGGATGGAATATACCGGGTGGGTTTGGTGTGGGTTATGTTGATTTTTAATGGTGATTCACTTGGTGATCAATGTGTGCATGCATTTGTGGTTTGTGGTGGTCTTTCTTTACCTAGTTGACTGTCCCCTTCTTTACTTGATTCAAAGTTGCAAAGGGTGATTTCAATTTGATGATGTAGGATTGGATTGAGAAATATTGCTGAAAGTAGGAGAGATGCATACCTGCTTGAATCAGGTTAGTAAATTCTAGTTGTGATGAATCGAGCAAGATTTTAACTTTCAAGATGGGGCAGAAAAGCAAGATAGATTGAGAATCCAACTCGCCTATAATGGCCCTGATTGCCCACGAGATGTTGGTTAATGGTCAAGAGTATGAGTATATTCACATGTGAATATATATTATAAGTTTTATAGGATGCATAATTAGCTTATTAAGTAGTCGAGTCTTCCCAATGTTGGTGGTTTATTTAAGCCAAGTTGAGCCAAAACATGCTAGGCTCAAGGCTGTGTTGGGAAAAACGAAGCCACTAACGGTAAACAATAAATGCGGAATTAACCTTCATTAGGCTAAACTTTCCCGACCCGAATGAACCTTTGAGGATGCAAACAAATAGGGTATTTTAAATGCAAGTAAAACAGCCCCCAAGACGTAAAAAC